TTGACAAAAAGTACTGGGAAAACTAGAAAATAATCTGGCAGAAAATAGGCATAGACCAACATTTCACACCATATACCAAGATAAGGTCAAAATGGGTATGTGATTTACACATAAAGGGCGATACCATAAGCAAATTAGGGGAGCATGGAATAGTTTACCTGTCATATCAATGGATAAAGGAAGAATTTAGGGCCTAACAAAGGATAAAGAGCATTACAAAATACAAAATTGATCATTTTCATTATGTAGGATTAAAAATTTTTCACACAAGTAAAACCAATGCAACCAGGATTAGAAGGAAAGCAGAAATGTGGGAAACAATTTTACAGCAAGTATCTCTGACTAAAGGTCTTATTTCTTAAATATATAGAGAACTGAGTCAAATATATAAGAATACAACTCATTACCCAGTTGATTTCAGACAAAGAAATCAAAGCTATCTATAATCATATAAAAAAATGCTCTAAATCATTATTGATTAGAGAAATGCAAATTAAAACAACTCTGAAGTATCACCTCACACCTATCAGATTGGCTAATATGACAGAAAAGGAAAATAGTACATGTTGGAGGGGATGTGCGAAAACTGGGATACTAATGCACCACCGGGAGAGTTGTGAACTAATCATACCATTCTAGAGAGCAATTTGGAACTATGCTCAAAGGACTATAAAACTGTGCATACCCTTTGATCCAACAATACCACTTCTAGATCTATATCCCAAATGGGGGAAGGACCTATTTGTACAAAGGCATTTATAGCAGCTCTTTTGTGTTGGCTAAGAATTGGAAATATGGGGGATATTCATCAATTGAGGAATGGTTGAACAAGTTGTGGTATATGATTGTGATGTAATAATATTGTACTATAAGAAATGACAAGCAGAATTATTTCAGAAAAACCTGGAAAGATTTACATGAACTGATGCACAGGGAAGTGAGCAGAACCAGGAGAACATTGTACACAGTAACAGCAATATCATACGATGAAGAATTGTGAAGGACTTAGATACACTCAGCAATGCAATGATCCAAAGCAGTCTCAGAGGACTCATGATGAAAAACTCTATCTGCCTCCAGAGAAAGAAGTGATGTCATCTGAATACAGACAAAGCATACCATTTCCCACTTCCTTTCTTTCTTCCTTCCTTCCTTTCTTTTCTTGTTTGAATTTTCTTCCACAAAATGATTAATATGGAAATACAGTTTACATGATTGCATATGTATAACCTATATCAAATTGCTTACTGTCTCAGGGAGGGGAGTCAGGGGATAGAGGAAGAGAATTTGTAATTCAAAAATTTTTTAAAATGTTAAAAATTGTGTTTATATATAATTGGGAGGAAAAAAATAAAATATGATTTAAAAGATAAAGTTTACAAAGCCCTTCATATATGTTATTTCATTTGAGACTCAGAACAATCATATGAGGTATCCCGATCTTACAGATGAGGAAAATGTAGTTGTGACTTGCCCATAATCATTTAGCTAGAGTCTGAGCTAGGATCTGAACCCAGCTCTTCCTGACTCATGTCCAGCACCTTTGTCCACTTTACAACATCATACTGTTTCTACATACATATACGCTGTTTGAGCACATACATACAGAGAAACCACTCTAGTGTCCACTATGGAAATGACCACCTAGCCCTGAACATTCCTCAATTTTATAGATAACAGTGACTCTGACTTGAAAGGTGGCCAGTTCAAAAGTTACCAAGACAGATTGGGGTAGCGAAAGCGGAAAGGGAGAAACTGGAAAGTGAAACATCTTAAGCATCAAGTCACAATGTAACAGTGTGTACTCACCCAGGAAGAGACTGAGAAGAAAGAGGGTCCACAGTCTGGGATGAACCATTGTAACAAACAGCAGGGACTGAGTGTACTACTTTCTGGCTCTGTGTGTGTGTGAATAATACCCATATGGACAGACTTCCTTTTTTTACCTCCAGATTTGGAGGGGGGGGACTGTGCTAGTAGCTACTTTTAAAAATTAAGGTGAAGAGGAAGTGAGAAAGAAGAGTGTGGGGCCTGGGCACTGGGGAGTGGACCATGTTAAGTAAGTTAGGCCTGTTGAGATGGAAATGGAAATGGAGACTTAGACTGTTGGCTAAAGACCATTTATCATGGAAATCAGATTTAAAAGGACCCCATGACAAAAAAATCTACACCTGCTACTCTTCCCTTACAAGGGAATAGACCGCGTTTTACTTTGTCGTCTGTGAGGCCTTAATTGAACAAACATTGTGCAAATTTTTTTTAGATGAATAAAACCGTATTTAGAAAGCTCAGTGTACCTTGGCCAGGTTTGAGGAGAAGAGTTTATCTTCTTAGGGATCAACCCTTTCCTCTCATTTGATCCTTATAACAACCCTGGAAGATAGTTACTATTATGATTCATATTTTACAGTTGAGAAATTGAGGCAAACAGAGGTTAAGTGATTTGCCCTGGGTTACAGACAGTAAGTTCCTGAAGCTGAATTTGAATTCAGGTCCTCTTAACTCCAAGCCCAGGGCTCTGTCTACTCCAGTCCTAGCTGTCTCTCATTTAAAATAAGATATTTGTGAAAATGCTTAGTCTGACATTTAGTAGGTGCTTAACAAATACTGATTTCCTCCTTCTTCCCTTCCCCTTGTGTAGATCATTGTGCTTGTGTCCAGGAAAACATGCAAGGAAGATGAGAAGTGCCTTCTGTGTCCAAGGTGGAGAGAGTGAGTAACATGCCTAGTTGTGGTCAATGTAATTCCTTTCATGTCTCATGATCCTAACCTAATTCTATATTTGGCTGTAACCTCTGCATATTGGACCCTGCTGGGATGCAGAAACAGTGCTATTCCTAAGCAGATGAGTAGGCAGGACACCTGGGACCCATTCTCAATTGCTGCTGTTGCTTGCATGAGACTTTAAGCAAGCCACTTCCCCTCTCCAGGACTCAGTTTCCTCATCTATAAAATGAAGGGAGTGGCTGCCACTTGCCACTTGTGCCACTTTGGAAAAGTTACTTATCATCTCTTCCCTATAAAATGGAGGGAAGTAGACTAGGTGACATACCTTAAACTCTGTGATCCCTCTCAGCTATAAAGCCTATGAATCTATGGAACGAAATGAGAGAGATTTTCAAGTTACTGCAGATTCTGAGTTTGGAGTATATCTTCAAAATACTTCTTTAAGACAGAACTCAGGGGAAAGTTTTTCTCCAGCCAGTACAACAGCATCTATGAGTGAAGGTAAATCAGCAGGTGTTTATTAAGCACCAACTATATGCCAGGCACTTTCCTAATGCTAGGAATACAAACACAACTGGAAAAAGGTAATTCCTCACCTCAAGGACCTCACATTCCAATGGAATTTTAAAAAGCTGAAAAATAAGGGAGGGAGGTTCATGGGGGCATGGTAGAGAAAGACCAGAGAATGAGGAGTGGAATCTTAGCTAGTCTTAAGTGTTATCTGACAGTGCCCCTCCCCTTCCTATAATTTACTGGAACTCCCAAACTGTGAGGAGACTCTCTTTTCCCCACTTTCTTCCTGGATCTAAAGTCCTGTGCAGATGGATTAATACAATCACAAGTCACTTAAGGGCAGGGGACATTTCCTTTATATCCTGCACACGGCACTTCACACTATGCTTGACACGCATGGGCACTTAACATCCCTGTCACTATTGGAGTTGGAAGGGACCACAGAAGCCATATAGTCCAGTCTTTATCTGAAAAAATATCTCTTCTACAATAAACCCAATAAATGATCATTCAGCCTCTGATTGAAGACCTTCCCATGAAAGAGAATTGATTTCCTCCTGAGAAAACATATTGCACTATTTGATAACTCTAATCAGGGGTGTGCTGACACATATTTAACAATCAGTGTCCTAGGCAGGACATATTTTTCAGTTTAATCTGCATCATCAGCATGTTCTCTAGCACTTTATGAAGCCTAGCCATAATAAGGAGAAGGCAGCTATATGGCACAATGGATAGAGCTCAGGCCTAGAGTTAAGAAGATCTGAGTTCAAATGTAGCCTCAGACACTTGCTAGTTTTGTGACCCTGGGCAAATCATTTAACCTCTATTTGCCTTAGTTTCCTCAACTATATAATAGAGATAATGATAGCACCTACCTCCCCAAGGCTTTTAGTAGAATCAAATTATATCGTGTGTGTAAAGTGCCTAGTAGACACCATATAAATGCGTATTCCCTTCCCTTCCCTAGACAAGCAATAAATCAAGCCTTTATTTATAATGGCTCTTGAAAGCCAGTACAAGCTTGCTCCGGCACAACCCTGGCACTAACTATTAGGAAGTTTCTCCTTACATGAAACCCAAATCTGACCCTCTGCAGCTTCTTCCCATTGATCCTAGATTTGCCTTTTGGGACCACAAAGAAAAAGACTAATCTAGGCTCTGATTCTTAAAAGCTAGCCACTGCTCAGATTTTTACAATCTAGCCAATAGCTCACAGGTTCTCAGATTCCTTGATCTGGCCCATATGGCGGATCTTTAATAAACCTTGTCTTTGGCTGAGAAAAAAAAAGAAAAAAGAAAAAGACTCATCTATCTTCCATGAGGAAGTCCTAGCAAACCTGCAGGCTGCTAGCATGATTCCCAAAAGACTTCTCTTTTCAAGGTTAAACATTCCCAGTTCCTCCAACTCATCCTCAGCATAAACTGGAGGCTTTTCAGCATTCAAATTGCCTTCCCCTGGATGCTTGTAAGCTCATCAGTGGTCTTCCTAAAATGTGGCGCCCAGAAATGAACACAACACTCCAGACTGTCTGTCTGATACAGACAGAGCGCCATGGGATCATCACCTTCCCATTTCTAAACATCATGCTTCTCAGGGCAGCCCAAGAACACCTTGGCCTATTTTAGATGCCTTATTACTGGTGACTCATACCAAGCTTTTGGTCAACCAAGCCCTCTAGGTCTTTCAGACTAACTGCTGTTTGTCTACGCCTCCCTCCCCTCCTGTTCTCTGTACCGCTCTGTGAAGAAACCACAGAGAGGAGGTGCGGAAGCTAAAGTGGTAAACATTTCCTCCTTTCTCAGTGTGAAGATTCAAAACTATGCATGCTGGGCCTACTTCGTGAAGGCAGCACAAGACCCACCACCTTGACTACTTGTCAAAAAGTTAGTGCCAAATGGCCTGTCCCAGATTGTGGGCCCTGTGGCTTCTCTGTCAGCTCAAGGGTAAGTCCACAGTTATTTCTGTTCCTGCTTTTACTTCTGGTGCTGCTAATATAACTTCTCCCTATCCTCTGTCAGTCTCAATTGATCTGAATCTAGTCATATCTTCTTTGCCTAGGTCACCTCTATCTGTAAAATTCAGGAAATTCTAAAACCCAGGAGTCAATTCAGATCATAAGTACCATCTATGTGCATATTTGGGATGTGTTTGTGTGTGTGCATGTTTCTATCTATGTAACAATCTCATATAATCCTGGACTCAGGCTGTGGCCTTCCAAACCTCATTCACAGAACCAGCAAATCTTAGCATATTGGAGCTGGTCTTATAGGAAAGAGAATAAGCATTGATATCGAACCTACTAAATACCAGACACTCTGCTAAATTGCTTTAAAATACTATTTGATTTGTTCCTCACAACTCTGGGAGGTAGATACTATTATTATTATTCCTATTTTATGGTTGAGGCAAATAAAAGTTAAGTGACTTGCTCAGGGTCACACAGCTAATAAATGTGTGAGTCTGGATTTGAACTCAAGTCTTCCTGACTCCAGGTCCAGCTCTTTATTTACTGTACCACCTAAGTTGGCCCAACTCTATAATTTTGCAGATTACAATTTTTTTATCTTTCTATTCTTTTTTAGCTTTTATTTAGTATTTTATTTTCCCCCAGTTACATGTAAAACCAATTTTTAAGTTATGTTTTTAAAACTTTGATTTCCAAATTCTCTCCCTTCCTCCCTCCCCAATCCCCCTCATTGAGAAGGCAAGCAATTCGATATAGGTTATACATGTGTAGTTATGCAAAACATATCCATAATAATCATATTGTGAAAGAAAACACAGACAAAAAACTCTAGAAAAATAAAGTTAAAAAAATGCTTCAATCTGCATTCAGATACCATCAGTTCTGCCTCTGGGGATGGATAGCAATTTTCATCATAAGTCCTTCAGATTGGTCTTGGATTTTTGTATTGCTGACAATAGCGAAGTCATTAGTAGCTGATCATCTTACAATATTGGTGTTACTGTGTACACAGTATATTTCATTTTGTACCAGTCCATGCAAATCTTTCTAGGTTTTTCTGAGAGCATCTGCTTATCATTACTTGAAATCTAGTGGTAGCTGTACCTCGACTAGCTGTATGAACTTGGGCAAGTCACCTCATGTCTCCAGGCCTCAGTTTCCTCACCATATAAAGTAAAGGAGTTGGACAAGATGGTTTCTAATTCCCTGCTAGCTCTATGATTCTGAGCATTTTTCCTACTGATCCATAGCCCAGGTCCCACTTAGACACTTGAAAATGTCACCAAGTCAAGTCAACAAACATTTAAGTGTTCACTACAAGCCAGGCATGGTGTGGGCGATCATTGCCTACAGAACAGAGCCAGCCCAAGACCATGCAGATCTCTCCAAACTTGCCTCACTCAGAGCCTGTGGAGAATTCTGCTTTCCTGTGGTACCTGAGGAATGATGGGCTTTATGCTTATTGTTGGGGGACAAGGACAGAAGAAATAGAAAGGAATACAGAGAGTGAAAGAAGCTATCTACTCTATCTCTGCACCAGCTCTCAGGGATTCTGAGGTTTTTTGAAAAAGCTGCTCCCTTAATGCCATTGCCTTCCTAACCAAGCTGATTCCCCCATGATGTCTTAACTTACCACTGTTGTCTCCCTCTTTTCATCTGAAAGAGAGTTTGAAATGTCAAAAACAAAGAAAAAGATAAGTTTACAGAAAATAGATTTTTTTTACCCTAATACGTTAAGTGCTTTCAAAACTTCATGTGGCAAAGGCTTCCTTTTATAAAAAGAAAAGCTAGTTCTCCCCCATTTGCACTTTTCATAATATAATCCATGCAAATAATTTTTAGTTGTTATTTTATTAAAACATAATTATAAATTTATTCTAATTTAATAAAAATACAAACAAAATTTAAATAACATGAATAATCACTGTATTATTTCTACTGTCATAGGAACATAGATTCAGAAATGGAAGAGACCTTTAAGGTTATCTGGTCCAACCCCATCATTTTATGTTTGAGGAAATTGAGTGCCATAGAGATGAAGGGCCTTACTTGAGGTCAAATTAGTGTAAGTCTCAGAGCCAGCATTTTAACCTGGATCTTCTAACTCCAAATTCTCTGCTCATTCCTACCCTTTAAGTGAAAGGGCATACACACTAGGGGTAGATTTTCCCCACCTTCAATCTTTACATTTCCATGCTATGTCTTGCTAGCTACATGGGACCGGGGCAGCAGAAAGGTATGGTGTTGTCCCCTGGGTTCTGATGAGGCTTGAGCAGGGACTCAGGCATCCAGCAGCACTGCCTGGCCTGGCTTGGGAGTGGTCTGGCTTCAAGAACCTCCTTCACCTAGAAGGAGAGGTCCTCTAGCAGGACATGTCCAGCCAGCCGCAGAAGGATTCTAAGAACAGCAATGCCCTAGCCCCTGACTACCAGGGAGCCTCCACAGGTTCCCATGCCTATATGGGGGCATTATAGGCTCTAACTGTCATGCAAAGCCCCCCCTTCTTCCCTCTGGGGCACAATTCTGTCTTTTTCCTAATGTTTTCATCCTGACCCAGTACCGACACTCCAGTGACAGAGACAAGTTCCCCTTCTGCCTCCCACCAAATGGAGTAAATTTCTTAGTCTCTTTCATTTCTTTTGTCTTGTATTTTGTTTCCAATAAAAAAACAGTGAATATATTTATGTAGGAGTTATACTGAAAAATTCTAGGTGGCATCATGGATAGAGTGCTGCCCCTAAAGTCAGGAACACCCAAAATGTCATCTGACCTCAGACACTTACTAGCTGTGTGATCACAAACAAGTCACCTCACAGGGTTGCTGTGAAGATATAACAACATGACATGCGAAAGAACCTTGCAACCCTTAAAGCTAAGGCATTATTATATCCAGTAATTTTGACCATTGCTTCAGGCACACAAACATACTTAAATGGCCTAGTGCCAGGGTAGAGAACCTGTGGCTTTGAGGCCATATGTGTTCCTCTAGCTCCTCAAGTGAGACCTTTTGACTAAATCCAAACTTCACAGAACAAATCCCCTTAATAAAAGGATTTGTTCCCTGAAGTTTGGATTCAGTCAAAGGGCTGCACTTGAGGACCTGGAGGGCTATATGTGGCCTCAAGGTCTTGGGTTCCCCACACCTGCATTGTGTCCCTTGGGGGTGGGGTAAGGATTGACCCAGAGTTTATGAAACTGCCTTAGTATAACAAATCAAGCTTAAGATTGTGTGGGACAGCTATCCTTATTTCCAATAAATTCAGAGGCTTCTCCAGATAGAAGGCAGAAAGGAATTTTTATTACGATCTCCCGAGAAAGGGTGACCCGCACTGAAAAACCTCTCAGTGTCAGGGTGCCCTGAACATAGATACAGCAGGTTTTTTTTATAGGTCCCTATCGCAACTCCGCTCCCTAACCCCCTTCCTCTTAGCCCATAGTTACAGGCCTTGAGGGTACATTCTAGATAAAATCTTGCCGGCAGACATGGTTATGTTGCAATGTCCTTATTCTACAAACCCCTGTGAAATTCCTGAGTTCCTTTGTTTCTGTCCCATGGACAACCATTTGTTTTCACAGTTAAATATAACATCTTATATCTTATGAGTTTAGGTTTTATGGGAGGTCTTCATTACATTCCATTCAGTCCCTCCTCTTGTCTTGCTAATGAAGACTTCCCACACCACTCCAGGTACATTCCCTCTACTATCTCATCCTCTATCTTTGACCCATCGGGCCTGATTCTGTATCATTATTTTCTTGGATCCCTCTGCCCTAACTTCTAATCAAAGTAATTTTGAGAGAGAATCCTCGACTAACCATAAAATTTGTCTATCATGTCTTCTTCATTGCCTACTTTACTTCCTTGCTCTTTTTCTCATCTGAATTCTTCCCCTTAACCATCACCCCTTTAAAATATGGGAAGGATTGATCCACGCATTGACAAATCAAAGGGGCAATCCCCTTTTTAAATGCAGATATAGAGACCCAAAAGAAAAGAATATTGCAATTGTCCCTTTAAGATTCAAAAAGTCTTTTCCTATACAGCTGTCTGGCAGGGAAGAAGTCCTCCAGTCTGTCGTTGGTATTTGTTCCAGCCACTTCCAGCACAGCATCTCAGCATCTTCTTCTTGTAGGAACCAGCTTTCTGTCCATCCTCCTATAAAAGTGACCTTAGCACAATTTTAAATTACCATTTCTAATCCTTATAACCCTGATCATTTTTACAAACTCAAAATTGGAACCATGGCCAGTCATCATGTTTAAGAAATTCACATCGGGACTCAGTGTCTCATACTTTACATTAATCCATTATTAATTTTCTCAACAGGAGGATGAGATTTCACCAAGGAATTAATAGCAGGCTCCAGTACATACATAAATATATTAAATAATCAATTTTAACACAGTATGTATAAGATCTTAAACTTTTAGTCATGCCATGTTTCTTTGATGGCATTTACAAAATACACCACAAGCCATTCTTCTTTTAATGTAACAAAACTCTAGACAATGATATTAACCAAATAACAAACTAACATTCTCACAAGCCCCTGACCTTACCATTACCAAGAATTAACGAACTCTAACTCATACGGGAACACACACAGGAACACTAGTCCCAGTTCTATAGTAACCTAAGATATTTCATAATCGATTATTTTAGTAAATTTGTTACTGTATTTGCAAACCTTCTGATTATAGAAACTTGCCGCTAAGAGACTTATGAGTCTCTTAGTTAATATGTATGAGACTTATGATAAGGGAACAATATTTCCCCAACTTCCTGTCAACTCCAGGCAGTGTTATGTCAAACTTCAAACTGCATTGAGCTAGGCTTAAAGTCTGCCAGGTGTCATAGTGGGGAAATTGAGTCAGGAGAATACTACCTCAGCCATGGAGAAAAGTCATTCTCCCAACCTTCCCATGACAACACCTTCTTGCAGCTCATAGGTGCAGCTCACAAACCTCTTTGCAGGT